ATAATCAATTCAATTTTCTTTTATATTCCAATAATGAGAATTATTGGCATTTGATCATTATAAAGTGAACATTTAGATTAAACATTTTACATTGCTCTGCTGGCATATTGTAAAACCTTTTTCGAAGTTAGTTGACAATTCGATTGAAAGGTATATATTTTTTGCGTTTTCTATATCTTCCCGCGCATCAACAACATGTATTGTCTTTCTTTTCCAAGTTCATATTGTGGCTATGGTTGCTTCGGCACTTATGCCTTCGACTGTTGCGGCCCATCTGGTTGTGGTGCCGGAGGAGGCGGTGGGGGTGGCTATGGATTCGGTGGTGGCTGCGGAGTATGGGGAGGCAACCAAGGCTTTTGTGGCTATGGACCCAGCACCGGCAGTGCCTGTGGTCCGCGACTCTGGAACTGCGGTCGGTGGCCATAAAAGGGTGCAGAATCATGGCTAGGCTTGAACCTAGCAAACAACCACGCATACACATACACACACAAGAGCATACACATGCACAAACTGTTTCTTGCAACCACAGGAAAACACACGAAAATAAACAGCTCTGAAGTCGAAAATGGCGTAGAGGTGATCTAGAGATTTGGCAAACGAATCTCGACGATGCAGGCCAGGCAACATCGAGTGGACGTAGGTCATCAAGATTGATTGTCCTTGAAGTGGAACTTTAGTAGTTATATTTTTTAAACTATTAAATGAAATGACCTCATTAAAAACAATCTCCAAGCGCCTCTGTTAAGCTAACATGACTCTACCTCTTGAACTTTCTTTTTTCTAATCTAATATGTTTCATTTCACTTGGCCCACCTTTGCCAAGCCTTCCATCTTCTATACCAATAAGCTCATCTCGAGCACAACTTCCTGATCACAAAATTCCCCTCAAATATATACATATACTTATTTTTGGTCTTTATTCTTCCAAATCGGTCTAAACATTGAGGCAAATTTTATCGGCGAAATGAAGCATGAGCAAGTATCTTTTCTAATCATGCATTTCTAGCAACCATAAGCACTTTTCTATTTATAATTCGCTTTTTTATGAGAAAATAATGTCTTCAATAATTCTGAAAACGCGGGCTTTTTAATTGTATTCTACTCAACTCCAGACCTATAATGAAAGTTAAAAGCAAATACAACTAAATACCATGTCTACGTTAGGTTTACAATTTCATATCAATTTAATTTAGGGGTGGTTTATCCTCCCCGTTGAGTGTATTCTAGCATTAAGTAGGAAATTCACTTGTTATCAGCAATATTCAATAACAATATTTATTTTCAATTGATTCTAGAGCCTTGGTGAGTTTACTTATGGTAATTTTGTCAAAAGGATCCTACAAAATCACTAAAGTGCACTGAACCAGCCCAAGAATAGTAGTTACTAATACGTAATTGAGTGAGCTAAGTGATTTCTATACTTTAATTTCACGTAATCATAAGCAACTACGTAATCGTCATCGTAGAAATTATACTAAATAGAGTCAACACAGCATAAGACCACATTTTAAGGGTGATAATCTGACATATTACTCTGTAAGTTCATTGTAGTCCAAAAGCACATGTCATTGGGTCAACGTGAAGATTTAGAACAGTAATGGAAAGCAGAAAATTAGTGAACATTAACAGATTTTAGAGGTTGTTTGACCTTGTTCTCGCAACATGGTCATATTGGTAGGAAGACTTATTGGAACGTACCTAGTCCGGGCTTTTCATTGACAAAATTAAGCCCAATCCCCCATTCATTGTGACTAATATATGGACCGGTTAAACGGCCTACAGTGTTCATTAATATCAGCTAAATTTATT